CTCAAATGAGACTACCTTCTGTAATTATGATATGTAGGGTACCTTAGGGCAATTTCTTGTCAGGACTCCGAAGACAATGTTGCCACCTTCATTATAGTTGGATTGCCAACTATCGTTTAAAAAAGTAGTGACCAGGGCACACCACAAACCCAACTATCCTGACCCAACTATCCTTAGTTAGTTAGTTTTTGTCTCGACCATGACCAATAATAAGGTGATGTATCAAAACAAAAATAATTGTTTTTGTCTCGACCATGACCAATAATAAGGTGATGTATCAAAACAAAAACCTTTGTTTTTGTATCGACCATCTGTAAATTTTTTCAAAACAGCTGTTTTTCTCAAGTCTAATGTCAAAAATTTCGACTTTACGTTTTCATAATGGAAGTCAATTCACAATAATTCCCAACTTATGGGTCGATTACGGATGGCAACCAAAGTTTAGTTGCGTTGCCAGTTGCCAAATTTGCATTATGGATGGCAACTGTTGTCAACTTCAGTTGCTTCAAATAGAATTTTTCGGCAACCATTTATTTCTGGTTGCTGTTTATAATAACTGAACTTTTTAGGCTTCCCATAATGGTTAATATTACTACAAAAGAACAATTTGAGGACCTTATTGCCCGGAAGGAAGCTCACCCAAATGTAGCACGCGGCGTGCGGACATTTGGTCAAACCAAAGCCACTATCGATGATGTGTGGAAGGCCATTTCAGAAGACCTTAACTGCTATGGCATTCCAAATGAATGGCAGAAAGTGGCGAACATCCGACAACACCCTGGAACTTAGTTTTCGAATAAAAAAAATTTATTCTTCCCTTTTTCCTCCTCCGTTAATTTGGATACAATCAAAATAGTACACAATTTTTCCTCTATTAGCCGGATAACTTTGGCGAAAACCACCGACATTGTCGGTTGAGCGATGCCAAGGTTGAAGTCCACAAAAAACACCAGAGCTCCACACATTTTTAAGAGAGGAGGAATTGCTGTTGGCCGCCAGGTTTTTCGGAAATCAGCGTTTAAGGCTTCATCTATGTACACAACAGCATCTTTTGGTAGTCGAAAATACGCCTTCAAGCTAATATGAGCAGTGGATTGAACATTTCTCTAAACGTCAGCATCTACTCACAGAACTGATGGTAGTTCTAATAGATTTATCTCTTAAATGCCTTCTAATAAATGACACACCTTGAACACAATTTTCATCATCAAAAAATAGTTCCACTGAGCTTATCATCACATATTATTAGCTTTTCTGATATATTTTATTCATTTTTTTTGTTTGTTTGTCCGCTTTTCCACAGGCAGATTTTTATTTGGCAAATTTTTTTGTTTTCTCTTTTGAAATTTTCGTTTGCTTTTCCATTAGCAAATTTTTCTTTGTCAAATTTGCGAATCAAAATACAAAAGAAAGAAAAAAACGTCAAAAGTGTTTACATTTTAAAGATTTTTTTTAATAATTTATTTATTTTTTATATATTTTATTATATAAATTGCAAAAATTAAATTTCACTTGCACAAATTAAAGCAACAGGTTTGTAAACAAAAGCCGGCTATGTGTCAGTAAAGCGAATAGGTTCAAAAGGAAATGTCAACAAAATTGTTTTCAACGAACAGAGCAAAGCTGAATTTGCGTGTACGGCAAATTCTGAACAAGCAAATTTTTGTTTTTCTTCCTCGCACCCCTCTCGCCCACAAACTCAGTATTTGCCAAATAAAAATTTGCCTGTGGAAAAGCAGACTTTACAATATTTCTAGTTGTAGAAATGTCAAAACAGTATTATCGACAGCAACTGAGAAAAGTTGCTATTCATAATGTTAAGTTTTATTTCAATTGCGTTGGTTGTTTTCCATAATCGACCATTAATGGTGTTTCTACACGATATGTATTTTACATATGTGCTGTCACTTTTTTACATATGGAAATCGAACTCGTCATGTGAAACATACGGAAATTTCAATGTGTCAAAACGATATGCAATTACATATGTATTTTTTTCCGAATAGGACGCGCTCTATTTTCGTATGTGAAACATAAGGAAATCAGCTGTTTGAATGAAACACATTGTTGGAAGAAAATGTTTCAATTGTAATTTAAAAAAAAGGATGAAAAGGCAACAATTACAAATTATTATTTCGTTTGTAGATGTTTAATAAAAAAAATGATGTTGATTTAAGAAAAAATTAAAGTGTTTTTTTGATTATAGATTATGTCATATGTAAAATACATATGTCGATTTGAACACAAAAATAAATGTTTTGTGTACACTGCTAATTTTGACACACATAAGGAATTACATATGGATGAAATAAGTGACAGCACATATGTAAAATACATATCGTGTAAAAACACCATAAGTGGCGCAGATATCCAGCTGGTCTCCCTGGGTGACCTATTTTATAGGCCATGGACCAAATTTTTTTTGTGCCATGGTTCTGATGGTTCATTTCACAGAATCTTGGATTTGAACTAGTTTATTTCGGAAAGGCGCAACTCTATGTCGGATGATGCGTTTCGGGCAAGCTTCTCTGATATTTGTTTATATTTTCCTTTTGTTTGTAAACATTGTTTGTTGTGATCAAGGGGAGCACTCATGGGTTGAGCCCGACGCGTGGACTTTAGACCAATTGAATGAAGTGTCAAGCTGCAAGTGTCCTCCCGTCGCTTTTGATCAATCGCAAAACCATCCAGCTCCTGAAGAAGTATCGACGAACGAGGTAGCACTTGTATATTTCAAAAAGTTGATATCGCTGCTTTTTGATCGCAAAAACTTAGTGGTAAGTTTAATCCACGCTTGCTGTTTATGACATCATGGGGAAGAACGCAAATCTTTATGCTAAAATTAATACAGTGTCGATTTAAATATTTGCAACTAACGTAGCCCTTGGCAATTTTTTTTTTAAGAAATCGTTGTGCTCTATTTTGATTTGTATTCTCTAACTCATTTCAGTGTACTCCATAAAAAATTGGAGTACACTGAAATCGGTATTTTCGGAGATATGAAATATGAATAACCGAGTCGTGTAATACAACGGCAAATCCTCTAAACATTGAGAGATCTTTGACGAAATGTTCACACAAATATCAGTATTCGTGCTATACAAATTGAGCAACAGGGTAAGCGAATCTGTGGGATCAAAATTACTTCATTATTTTAATGACAATTTCACTGACACTGTCTTGTCGTGGGTGCCATCAATCTTGTCTTCAATATCATACCCTCTTTATTATTAAAAAAATATACCTTTTTAGTTTTTTTATTATTAAATAAGGTGTATGCATCAGATACAACAACAAATATTTTACAAAAACAACAATGTTGTTATAGAAATTAAATTGTCATGCTGACAATCAGTTTTTGACAAAAATAAGCAAAAACAATTAATAATTTATTTTTTTCAAGAAATATTCTCTGAGGAATAATTAATGAATTTGTGTATTCTTGGGTTATTGGCGGTTTTAGGTCAGTGAAAAATAAAGTTTAAGACCTGGTCGCGATTAATTTTAAGTTTCCCACATGCAGCCCATGGCTCCTTGTGATGTTGTTTATATTGTGAATTACAATCTATTTTTCTATGGAGTAGTGTCTTTCAATTTTGTTGCCTTCTTAAAGAAAATTGAGAGACATAAATCCCCGGCCAAAGACTAAATCATGGAAATTGTGTTGACCGTATAAAATCTTTCCATAGGCGTATTTAACCTTCGCCGCCGTAACAAACACCAATGGACCGATTCCAATAGGCTAACAATTCAATTTCAATTTCTGTTTATTGCTTGTAATATATATAAATTATTAACATATAGTAATTATAAGACAAGAGCTTAGGGATCTTTGATCCCTGTTCTACTATATCATTATGTGGTTTAAATAATATAAATAACTAACAATTATCATTGGAGAAGGTTGGGAGAAAAGCAAAATAAAAACCCATTGAATGTTTTTATAAATTGTAGGTTAAGAGTTAAAATTACTATGACACTATATCATTATTATGTGGGTATTGAGAAATTAGACATCTGTCTCTAAATGAATTCATCAAGATGTTGATTCTTTCCTGGGCAGTCTGGAATCCCGTTAGAGTGTGTAGTCTTCTAGTGGAATATAACCAAGGAAGGTTGTAGATCATTTTTAAAAGCTTATTTTGCGAAACTTGAAGTTTCTTTAGATGACATTTTGCAGATGAAGACCATACTGGGGCACAGTATAACATAACAGGTTGAAAAATTGATTTGTAGATAAGTTTCTTATTCTCAAGATTAAGTTCTGGGTTCCTATTAATCAACGGGTACATAATTCTGGTAACCTTATTAATTTTGTCCAAGATGTATGGAATGTGAGCTTTTAAAGAGTAATATTTTATCCAGTATGATTCCTAAGTATTTTACATTATCTCTCCATTCGATGTTACAGGTGTTTAAGATGATTGGCCGTAAAATCTTCAGTAAAATCTTCCATTTATGAAAATAAGAGTGCAGTTTTCACAGAGCTGCCTCCAACGTGTTAGTTATATTTATTGCATAAGTATCAGAGCATATAATTGATGTGTCATCGGCAAAAATAGATGTGCAACATCCTATAAGAGACGGTATGTCGTGTGTAAATATGTTGTAAAGTATTGGCGATAGACAGGATCCTTGGGGACATCCGGCATTTACATTGATTACTGCGGAAGATGTAGCACCAATTTAAACTTTAGAAGTTCTTTTTTTGAGAAAACTTTGTATAATTTTAATAATATACAAAGGGAAGTTCAATTTCCTCAATTTAAAGATAAGACCGTCGTGCCAGACAGAGTCAAAAGCAGCTTTTATATCCAGTAGAACCATTCCAGTTGATTTATTCAAATTGAAGTTTTCGAGGACCGTGTTTTTAATTTTTAACAGAGGGTGGGCAGTATTATGTACTTTTCTGAAACCAAACTGTTGGGGAGGAAGAATGTCATTTATGTTTATATAATGAAGATTTTTTTCTTTGATTACAGATTCTAATATTTTACTTAATGACGATAGCAAACTTATCGGCCTATATGATGCAGGGCTATCGGGTGACTTATTTGGTTTGAGTAAAGGAATTGTTTTCGAACATTTCCATGCAGTAGGAAAGTATGAACATTTAAGACAGGAGTTTAAAATAGTTGTTAGGAATTTTTTCCCTTTCCTGCTTAAATTTTTTAAACTTTTATTGTTTATTTCGTCCAAACCAGGAGATTTTCTGACCTTCAGTTTTTTTTAAAAATGCCTCGGTTTGAGCAACATTTAAGTAACAATTTTCTTCAATATTACTGTTTATGTATTGTATTTCAGACAAGGATATGTTTACTTCACAAATAGTTTCTGTGTCGCTAAGATTATTGGTTAGGTTGTGATTAGTTTCAAAATGCTTAGCTATTATGTCACATTTATCCTTTTGTGAGTAGAAAAAATGAATTGTTGTGGTTTAATGTTGGAATGTTTTTAGTTGTCCGACGTAAAACTTTAGAGATTTTCCATAAAGGTTTAGAGGAGTAATCTAATTCGGATAACATATTATTCCAAGACTTGTTTTTAAAAGTCAATAATTCTTTATTGATGATTTTATTCAACCGATTCATTTGACAACGGTCTGATTCTTCTCTGAACCTATTAAAATTCCGTTTGTATACGTTTCTGTGTTGTATTAAAGTTTAGGAACGCTGTTGTCGATTGCAGCTTTAATGACGTTAGTAAACTTTTCAATCGTCCTGTCGATTTTGGTTGTGTCGTCACATAATGCGATTTTTTTTTATATTTTATTTTGTAAAAAAGCCTAAAGGCCAATGAGATTTACAATATGCATGAACTTATAGTACCTACTCCAGATTATGACAATATTAATTTACATAGATATATTTACCATATAATTGCAATTAATAATATTTGATTTTTTGTAGATAATAAATAATTTTATAAAGCAGAAAAAATTTTGTTCTCAGTTTAATTGAAGTTGCCGCAAAATGCGCTTCCGAAAGGTTGAAATAGATGTGCAAAAAATTTTTAAGTTATTGGGAAAGGCATTAAAGAGACGAGAAACCCTAACCCGAAAGGACTTACCCATCCTTCCAACTAAACGAGGTATTAGAAGGCTTGTAGTCCGAGTAGAACGTGCAAATGTAAACGAATTAACAAGAAAGTTAGGACATTGAAAATTAACAATTTTATAAAAAAGTACTTCGGAATTAGAAATATGTTCGTTTATAAACCTTTTATATCTTTTCCAATTTGCTCTATTATAGTCAAAATGTAGTGTTTCAGCTGTTACTGCATTCGCGTTGAAATCGCAGATGACTGATAAATGGTCCGAGCATAAATCATTGATAGTCTTTATAGAAAGCACATTTTGGGATACGTTTGTCAGAAAAATTTCAAGGTTAGATGGACGTCGTCTTGCATCTTCCGGGATATAAGAATTGTTTGGAGAAAAAAGTATTTGTAGGTCGCGATGCTGCAGTTTGTCGTATAATACATTTCCCCACGAATTGTTTCTAGTGCATCCGCAATAAGTGTGTCTGCAGTTGAAGTCTCCTCCTAAAACAAATGTGAAGGTAGGATCTGTTAACTTTCGCAAGTCCGATGAAAAACGTTTCCTCAACTCCGCATTTGAACTTCCTCCAGGAAAATAACAGGAGTAAACGTATAAATACTCATTTCCTCTATCAATTTTTATTCGGATATTTTCAATATTTACAGTATTTAGAGGCGGTATTAGTTGATGTTGGATATTTTTTTAATGAGAATAGCCACTCCGCCTCCTCTACTACCTTCACGATCCTTTCTATGAACATAGTATCTTGTGTTTTTCAATGAATGATTTTTATTTAGCCATGTCTAATTTAAAGGCAAACATCGTATTTGCCATTTGTGTTTATTCAGTAAATGTATTAATTCTTCATTTTTATTTCGAATGCCTCTCGCATTCCATGTCATTATTTTCAGATTTGTGGAGCTCAATATAAAAATTTAAATGCTAAACTTGTAATGACCTCAAATTGGTCCGCTTTCGAATTGCATTTGCTTAAATTTGAAATTAGTTCAATAGTGAGACTATTCATTTCATCTATTGAAAATAAATAATTGTTTGGACGATTATTGATTTGGGGAATAGCCCACCCAGATACGGTCGGAATCTCCGGTAGATTGAGATTATTAGTGAATTCTTTGTTGTAATTAAATTTCTTGTTAAATTGAACTTTTGGCTTCTTAATACTGGGAGTTTCGTAACGTTTCCTCAGTTCAATATACTTAGAGCGGCTAGGACAGTCAACTGACGACGATTTGTAATTGCCATTGCAATTTGCACATTTTTCAATTGTTACATTACATTCAGTACTTTTGTGATTTCCTGCACAGGTAGAGCAAAAGGTCTTGACTTTACAACGATTGGATCCATGACCATACATTTGACAGTTATAACACTGTGTAATTTTACCTTTGTTGGGTTTCTGGTATTCCTATCGGATTCTTATACGATTTATTGAAGAATAGGTTTGACGGATCTCCTTTAAAGTTATTGTTTTCCGTTGGAAATAAACAACATATATTATGTTTTCGTTGACTCCATCCTTAGCCTTTCTGATGACAAGTTTACATCCATACATTTTAAGCCCATTTCATTTAAATGTGTTTTAACCACATTTGGGTCCATTTTCGTTTTTGGGGACATATGAAAAATATTCCAAATTAAAATTATTGTCGAGTGCATCACACATGACATTCAAATCTTCATTCTTATTAAGAAAAAGTTTTAATCCGATGCAGATTTTTCGTATAGAGTACGACGAAATATTTAATATTCTGCACATTTCATGCATAACAGTAGGGGAGACTGGGGCACCTCCGGCAATCGCGATTTCGATATGAAGCTCTCAACGTACATCACTAGTTTCGATACATCGGTATAGAATATCGAAATAAATAACTGACACAAAGTTTGTAATTTCTAGCTAATAAGCTTATTTAGATACATGGGTTTTTATATTTTTATAGATGTTTCTGTAATATTTCAATTTCATTTCGTAAGTATTTCGTGTATAAAACTTTTTAAATTTTTAAGACAATGTTATTAAAAAGTGGTTAACTACGATGTGTTTTATTATAGAAATATTTAAAAATACAAAGTTTTTACAAAACTGATCGAAAAAAATTAAAAAAAAACTATAAAAAATACATTCGGGGTAGATTCGGCATTTTAAAGTGGGGCACATTCGGCCATATACAGATTGTGCAATATTATTTCCTTAAAATGTTTTTGAGTTTGTTTTTAAAACTAATCCTTTAATATGCTTCGAAATTGCATATATAAGATCAAACGTGCTTGTATTGACGAAGAGGTGATAGAAAACCTCTACTTCTTATGGTGTGTGCGACCTTGAGATGTAAACGTCTGCCGCTAGAAAATAAAGTCCTATAATTCAAACATTGTGTGGCGTACTAAAACCAAATAGAGCCTTTAGAGGATCAGAATTTGAACCAGACTGATAGCGATGACAATTACCCGGCTATGACTACGGTGCCGAATGTGCCCCATCAAATGCCGAAGCTGCCCCGGGTTGGGGCACATTCGGCAAATTTGACTTTTTTAACAAAACTGTAAAATTTTTTAACTAATACTATTATTTTTTATCTTTTTGGTACTAGTTTTTATAATTAAGTGTCGGAGGACAATAATCAGCCATAAAGTTGTTATATATGTTGAATAAGTTCTGAGATATAGAGCTCTAAAAAAGTGCCGAAGGTGCCCCAGTCTCCCCTACTATATTTTAAGTGTTTTTTGTTTTGTTATATGAGGAGAAATTCACGTCTGCACAATACGGTATATACTATACGACTGAATAAGCTAACATAATCTCGTCCATTTTATGAGTATCAGGAATTTATGGACAGTTTTCCACACATAACGTAAAATATGTGGACCATTCGACGAACGGGGATATAACATTCTTTATTGTTTGTAAAGTAAATTGTCAACAACATTTTAAATATTACATTTCGATTTCAAAAATGGCCCTTAAATTTAGTCTTTTTTAATAATATTACTTGAATTTTTATTATTAAAAAAGACTAAATTTAAGGGCCATTTTTGAAATCGAAATGTAATATTTAAAATGTTGTTGACAATTTACTTTACAAACAATAAAGAAAAAAGTTTAAAACCATATGATTGTCACTTACACCTTATTAAATACACCTTGGGCCGTACCTAATTTATTGCGCTCCCTACAAAAATAGTCACCTTCTAACCTTTATAGGGTTTGAAAGACGTCCGTATTACCATGGTACAATAATACAAGGTAGGGTAGCTTGAGGTGAATAACAAAAAAGCAACTATTTCAATATATATATATATATTTCAATCTATTTTGAATTTATTTGACATTGTATTCAAAACAATACACACATACACAAAATATGTATTTTGATTTGATGGAACAAGCCACCTTGAGAAAAAATTGTAATCAGTTGGTAGCTGTGCCCTACCTTGTAATAATTATACCATGCGTATTACCCAAATAAGCAAGGACTTTATTTGCATATGTGCCAATTGAAAACGGCGAAAATGGATGAAAATATTTTTTTAATAGATCGAAAAATGTTTACATTTATAGAAAAACAAATTTTTCAATGACTGGAATTCTATTTTCGAATCCATATCTTCAAGCAAATAATACAAACCGCAATACAAAATTGAAAATTTATTAAATTAATCCACATATTTTTAGTTTCTATTGGAAATTTCAAATTTCCTGAATGTTTTGTTTTTATTTTCAACAAAAGAAAAAAAATAAAAAATACGTTCTGTCAAAGTTGAAAATTTTCAACTTGAAATTTTTTTCGTTCGACGTATTTCGATAACATTCGATAAATACATGTGTTTTACTTTTGTGGTGAAAAACGTCGAACGAGCTAGATGAATTTTAGGTAGTGCTCTTATATTTTTATAAGCAATGCGTATTTGGCTAATATTCATTGAAATACATAAAAATAACTTTTGAGGTGAATAAAATCGTACGCATACGCATGAATTTAGGTACGACCCTTACACAAAAAATTCTTGCGTTTTTATTCACCTCAATTTGAGTTTCTATAAAAATAAACGTTTTCGATCAATTAAAAAAAGGTTTTAATCCATTTTCGCCGTTTTCAATTTGGCACAGATGCAAATAAAGTCATTTCGTATTTGGGTAATACGGACGTCTTACAAACGCTAAAAAGGTGAGTATTTTTGTACGGAGCGCAATAAATTAGGTAGGGGAGACTGGGGCACCTTCGGCACTTTTTTTTTAGAGCTCTATATCTCAGTAATTATTCAACATATATAACAACTTTATGGCTGATTATTGTCCTCTGACTCTTAATTATAAAAAATAGTACAAAAAAGATATAAAAAAATAGTATTAGTTAACAAATTTTACAGTTTTGTAAAAAAAGTCAAATTCGCCGAATGTGCCCCAACCCGGGGTAGCTTCGGCATTTGATGGGGCACATTCGGCATCATAGTCATAGCCGGGTAATTGTCATCGCTATCAGTCTAGTTGAAATTCTGATCCTCTAAAGGCTCTATTTGGTTTTAATACGCCACACAATGTTTGAATTATAGGGCTTTATTTTCTAGCATCGGACGTTTACATCTGCAGGTCGCACACACCATCAGAAATAGGGGTTTTCTATCGCATTTTCGTCAATACAAGCACGTCTGATCTTATATATGCGAATTCGAGCCATATTAAAGGATTAGTTTTAAAGACAAACTCAAAAAAATTTTAGGGAAATAATATTGCACAATCTGTATATGGCCGAATGTGTCCCACTTTAAAATGCCGAATGTACCCCGAATGTACTTTTTATAGTTTTTTTCATTTTTTTCGATCAGATTTGTAAAAACTTATATTTTTAAATATTTTTATAATAATACACATCGTAGTTAACCACTTTTTAATAATATTGCCTTAAAAATTTTAAAAGTTTTATACACGAAATACTTACGAAATGGAATTGAAATATTACAGAAACATCTATAAAAATACAAAAACCTATGTATCTAAATAAGTTTATTAGCTAGAAATTTCAAACTTTGTGTCAGTTATTTACTTCGATATTCGATACCTATGTATCGAAACTAGTGATGTACGGTGAGAGCTTCATATCGAAAACGCGATTGCCGAAGGTGCCCCGATGCCGAAGGTGCCCCAGTCTCCCCTACGACCCTAAAATTTCAAATTGGTTGAAAAATACTTGAGTTGACATTCATATCCATAAATACTCAGTAAATCAAAATTCTAAATAAAAAGGTCTCTCAATTCGCACTTTTAATGAATTTTTGTGTAAAAAGATTGGAGATTTGTATTCAACGTACATACAGAATATTTTGACAGCGTGTAGCAAATTATGACTGTAGATATCGATTAAGTTATTGTTCCACAATAAATTTCGATACGATCATACTTATTTTCATGGCATAATTACTCATGGTAGTCTCATTTGAGAAATTAATAATATCAACCCTTTTTGGGGCACATCTATCAAATTCAAATTGTTTGAAAAATAAGTTCCATAAAATTTTATGCATGTTGATTGGCATATTTAAAAGAATTAAAAATTTAGATTTTCTAAAGATTTTAAGTATTTTAAGATGACAAATTTTCTTCATAATTGCATATAAATAAATATGATATGTACAGACATGCTTATTTTTTAATCCGAACTTGCGGTCAATAAATTGTAATGTTTTTTTTTTTGATCCACATTGTTCATAAGCTATATTTACAGATGCCACAGCTAATATTTTTTTGATCCACATTGTTCATAAGCTATATTTACAGATGCCACAGCTAATATTTACAGATTATAGAGGCTGGGAACTTCAAAAAATTAAACATTTTGTAATTATTGCCATTGAACATGTGTTGTGCGTACATTTCGTAGGATAATATTTCCATTTAAATTTTGAAAGCTGAATTTTGTCAAAAGTAAAATTATGAAAAAAAAATTAAATTATATACCTTCATGAGACTACCTTGTATAATTATGTCATGACTTACTGTATGATACTATCCGATCGGAATTGTTCAATAAAATTGTTCGATTTTTCGAGAGTAACAGTAATTCATCTATCAAAAATAAAAGTTCTCTGTTGGCCAAAATATTAAAACATTTTTTTAATTTTTAACTTTAAATGTTAAATAAATCAAAAAGTATTACATATTCATTGTACATAATTCAAATGTTTTGAACAGTACTATGAATGTACATTGTAAATGCATGCACCAGGCATTACCAAAAACAGAGCGAGTTATTGATTACGAACAAAAAAATGATCATTGTCGTATTTGTAATAATGTTTCAAATTGTGTTTACTTGATTAGTTTATACTTGATTTTTTTGCAGTTTGACGCAGAACAGCTAACTACATTTTCTACATTTTATGATTTCGTTTTTGCAAAAATGATTTCTCGTTTTTCTTATGTAGAATGTTTTCCGCGGCCCATTAAAAGAAATTATCATAAAATGCACGGATTTGGTTTTTTATAAATTAACTAAAAACCAAAAATATGTTGTATCACAAAAGCAAAAACAAAAATAAAAGAAAGGCATACACAAATTGGCAAATGTTTTCAAATGATTTTCATTCTTTAAATAACAATGCTACAAACGATGCCACAAAATAGTGATTTGAAAAAATGTTGAACGAAATCAGCTACTAACGTTTCTTAAAAAGTATATAACGCATATATTAATAAGTAGTGTTGAACTGCTGTATTCAAATATTCATTGTACATAATGCTAATGTTTTGAACAGTACTGTGAATGTACATTGTAAATGCATGTACCAGGCATTACCAAAAACAGAGAGAGTTGTTGAACAAAAAAATAATCATTGTCGAATTTGTAATAATGTTTCAAATAGTGTATACTTGATTAGCTGTGTGTGTATTTTTTTTTTTTTTTTTTGCAGTTTGACGATGCATTTCAAACGTATGAAAGGTTGGTGAAATTTTCCCTCCAAACGTCTCAGCTTGAGAAATTAGAACGCTTGCAAGATCCGAGGGATTTGGATAACGTTCTAATGGAGATATTTGAAAAATCAACTAGTATACCAAATGCGTACGGCCAGTGTCACGATCTAAATAATGCTACGACCGGTTTTCTTGAATTGATCGTTGATATCTTCCGGGATGTGTGGCAATTGACACAAACATCTGAGGTATGTGCTTTGATGTTGTGTTCAGTTTCAGTCGAAATGCAATCATATTACTCTTTTCTGAACATGGTTGTATCACAATATGTAATTGATATTTATGTATTATGCTACCAGATTCGCTTTCTCTTGATTGTTGCAATTGTTATCTTCTTTGGATGGGCTTTGAACAAACGGTATCGGATTGGATTTGTGGCATTACTTGGAGGAGGTCTATTCATGTTTGGATATATGCACACATACTTGGAGTGCAACCGGGTAAGAGCAACCCAAACAAAAATGAATTTGCTTATTTTGAGTTATTTTTTTTGTATTGTAGGAATTGGAAGTTAACGAAATGCTGGAGATATTAGATCGCAATAAACAATCGTCGACAGATGATACCCAATCTGGTTTTCTTAAGTATTTAAAAGTTTTCTTGCCTTTTTCAAACTCGCAAAGTTCTGACCAACGTGATGCTTTAAGGTGATTTGAAAATTTAAATTTGATTGAATGCAACAATTAACAAACATTTAATTTCATTACAGAAAATCAACAAAAATTTCTTTAGGTTTCTGTCGGCCAGATCATGTTCTCATTATGTACTTCAATGATATATTTTTGAAATATCTAGAAGTTTTATTGGAACAATGTACGAAAACACTGACCACTTTAAGGGAAAATTTATCGTTCCCATCCTATATAGTAGCATCATTTTTCTTAATTAGTATTATTGGGTTTGTCATTAAACTCACATTTCAATACATTTTGAGTCCCGCCATTTGGTCAAATGTAAAACAAAATAAATCGAACATACGTCAACATGCCCAAAATGCGGCCTTAACAGAAGGCAGTGCAAATACACCTGCTGATCACATATCTGGAGAAAATCTAAAATTATTGTTAAACGCTATAAATGCAGCTCCTCTTCGTCAGATACCAATGAGCACTGTTTCAGGTGTGGAAGAAATCCAAGAATGCATTGAGGCTCCCCCTACAAAAGCGAAAAAAAATTTAAACGTGGCTGGCGACAAACAGACTACATCCGTTAGCCAGAATAACAATAATAAAGCAAAGGAGCCGTTCGAAAAAGTTATACTAAATGTGAAACTGGAGGACGCGCCAGATGAATAATAATAAAGTTTTATTGTTAACCGTTATTTATACCTTGATCATTGATAATTTAATTTTATATACTTTTAATTTTGTCGAATAAACTTTTTACGATTTTATTATATTAAAAATGTTTTTTTCTCTTCTGGGTGGCATGCTATTCAGGCCCTAACTGTTATCGTCACATTAATAGTCTTTAGTTTAATTTTTTAATTGTAATTTTATTTTCAACTATTATTATAGGTTGCACGTTAGTTAGTAGTAAATACATGATCGTTTGTTGTCATACAGAAGTAATAACTTCATTTACAATAGCATACGTTTAGTTGACTCACCGGAAGTAAATATATAAATAAAAACTAAAGCAACTGAAATTCCAAACTGACTAAACTTATAGTGAAAGGTTAATTATTCACATATATATGAATATTCATCCGATTGAAAGGGGTTAATTTTCAAAATCAAAACTATTTTGATTTTCGTGCTGCATGAAATTCTCACACATACATTCTGAGGGTCGTACATAAATTCATGCGTATGCGTACAACTTTATTCATCTCAAAAGTTAAATATTTCAATGAATGTTACCCAAATACGCATTGTGTATAACAGCCCTACCTAAATTTCAATTAGCTCGTTCGACGCTATTCACCACAAAAGTAGAACACATGCGATCGGATCTACGCTCTGGAACGGCCCGGCCAAACCATGTATTTATATGAATGTTACCGAAATACGTCAACATACGAAATTTAAAAATGGAAAAATTCAACTATGATTAGTTCGCTAAAATATATGCATTCAACGTGTTTAGGTAATACGGGCGTACAAAACATTTTGCCATAGTGGGGAGGTTGAATTTTTTTGTACGTCTCGTTGGATTTTAGGTAACGTTGATAAAATACAAAGTTGAAAAAATTCAACATTGATAATGCGTATTTTGAATTTTTTGTTTTTTTGAAAATTGAATTCCAGTCATTGAAAATGTTGTTGTTTTTATAAATGTAAATATTTTTCGGTTAATTAAGAAAATGTTTTCATACATTTTCGCCGTTTCCAATTGACACACAAGTAAATAAGGTCCTTCCGTATTTGGATAATGCGGACGTTCAGCAAACCCTATAATGGTGAGAAGGTGGGTATTTAACTACGCAACGCACTGAATTTAGGTACGACCTGAAACTGACTAATACTACTTAAAATGCTGTCATGCATACCCTATGGGTGTGGGGTCCTTGAGGCTTTAATATTAAACTTCAATTAATCCGAGAACATAAACATTTTCCCCTGAGTCGGATTCCAATAATTTGGTCTGTTCCAGTACTTTTTTAATGGTAGAGCTAGTAATTTCAATTTTAGTAAATATGCCAAAATTAGATGGCAATACTTCAAAATCAACATAACAGCCAATCAGAAGTAAGCATTCCTGTTTTTACTCGGCCAAATTTCTCGAGTTAAAAGTTTACAAAGAGAACGTCATTTTGTTTTGCGCTCTCTTAAATTTTATTCAACGTTTTACCAGTTTTGTAGGTTCAGGAACGGTTTTCGAGTAAAAAATTGCAAAACTTGTAAAATTAGTAGATTCCTTTAGGTTCTGGAACGGAACTAATATTAGCCTTTCGATTTTTTCAGATGTAAAAGGGCTTTCTTGATAGTTTCCTGCCATGTAGACCTGCTACCACAACTCGCCCACGCTCTGTTCTTGATATTATATCCAACGATAACCCTCTCACTAATTGGGTTGAATTCTTATATGGGTAATTTTTACTGTTATGAACATTTTTTGATCAGAACAAACTGACGTTTTTCCCGGCCTCCCTCCGTGATGAACTTTAACTACTCATATAATTGCATAAAACCAACATATAATTCGAGAGATATCTCGGAATTATTTATGGAATATTTCTTCAAAATAATTTTCTATGATAAATTATTATCACAATCACTGCTAATTAGCTGTTTTATCGGTGCACGTTATTTGTAACTAAAAATAACTAAATTTGCTTTAGTTTTGTCCAAGCAAAAATTGAGACAATTTCCTTTTCCATACATTATTTATTTCAAAATTAATTTTGCATGTATGCTTTTGTTCTCTTTCTTTTTTAAGTAAATAAATTACCCTTTTCAAAACTGAAAAAAACGAACACGATATGTTTATTTTTGAAAAAGTTATTCAACATTTATTACATTTGCAATTTCAGTTGTTTTTGTTTTGGCCACCAGTGCATATATAGATAGGGCGCTTAACGATTACTTTATTTTGGTCGCTAGCATACCGAACATTTTTGTTAATTATAACGAATCTATAAACAAATAAACATTTGCAGTTATCGGCAATCATCGGTAATTTTTTACGTTAAACACATACAGAATTGCACGCGTGTACGCAAATAATTAATTATATCATATCCAATTAAACGTATGCCACTGTATTTGTTTCTGTTTCAATATTATATAATTGATAAGTTAGCATTATATGTAATATTATTAAATAGGGATGCTTTGCAAAGTGTTTTTGTAGTACTATTAATATGTCAATACATTTGTATAAATTGAAACATATTCTTGTTATATATCTTAAACTACGCATGGGAAAGCTTGTTTGTTTTTATTTTTGGTTTATATATCATTACTGTCGAAATAGTTTCTTAAAGACGCTTAATTTAAAAACATTTTTTTCTCAATGCAGGTATGTTTTTGAAGCAAATCGATCCAAATGCAGACCTAAATAAATAGTTTTGTAACTGTTGTGTTTATAAATTTATTTTTTATAATATATAACATTGTTTGATTTTATATTTGGAAAAAATAACAAAAAAGTGTAAGCATTTTTATATTTGTATATTAATATAATGTGTACATTTTTAATTATTCGTTGTATTTTAATGAAATCTTAATATTGTTTTTTTTTACAATGTGTGCTGTGGTTGCTCTTAATCAAATGTTCTGCTTGGGAAAATATTTTTTTGTATGCGAAGCCATAGGTAAATAATAGGTTTCGTTTTTACAATTTATGCAAAACAAATTTCGTAATAAAAAGGATTGGTCCTCTGTCGACATATTCATTTAAAAAAATAACTACAGAAATTATAAATGAAACGAGCCCCATAACAATAAGAAATCGGAGTGATATTTTTAAGCATACATAATAGATCGGGACATTGTATCGTTTTAAAACAGAATAAATAATTAAAAATAATAAAGTTTCTATTTTTAAATTACTAATATTGAAAAGTGCTGCAGGTTTTGGAAATGATCACATATTGCACTTTGTTTTGGCAGAAAATCGAGAAGGTGAAGAACCCATACTATGACCGATTATTTTTAACAAATTCAGTCGATACCTTGGACTTCACGCTTTATGTTTAATGAAAGCAAATTCGATTTGAGGATATGTTTGCATAAAACGTGTTTTAAGAAAATGAATTATAAGTTTTGCATACGATATTATTTAACTCATTATGTTGCCATTTATAGCAATAATGTTTCCGTTCCAGAAACATTTTTAAACGGGGACGCAATAAAAATTTCAAATTTAATTATTTTTGTAAAATAAGAAGTTACTCAGAAATCTATGTTGTTTTAATTTTTAGCTCCAGTCCAGTTGTAGGGGCCTATTATTATGTTGACAGTATTGGTGCATTTTTCCTGTGCATTCCAATAGAATGTATGCATGTATTATTTTCGTCTTTGTTTTCATTTTTCATTGAGAACGCACTGCCCTATTTTAGAACAATAGTAAGCAACGTTTCTTGATGGTCGGAAATCGAAAGAAATAGCGTAGTGTAATAAAACTATGAGCATTGTTGATTATAACTAAACATAAATACAAGGTCGTTCGAATTTGTGTGTTTTCCCCAAAAATCCATTATTCGTTACATAATTGGTATTATTGACATTTTGTTTTCATTTCAATATTATTATGCATTAAATATGTATGTATATATTCAAAAGATAATTAAAGCTTGGATGATTTTCAATTCTTATCGGTAATAAAGTAAACTAATAATTAAATCTACCTAATTTATGCCCATGTAGGTATATATAGTGTATATTTCAATTACGAATATTACAATATATTAGTATAATATTATCGTTTGTTTCCTATAATTGATTTAAATAAATTTCTAAATAAGCAAAGACAGCAATATTTAATGTCGGATATTAGGCTGAAGTTCGTCATTTCCCAATAAACGTGTATTTGAATAATAACAAAATTCGCCTAATTTTTGCTTAAAAGTGAGTTACTTTTGATGTTGTTTTGTGTGTGTGTGTTTTTTTTTTTATTTGTGTGGATACGTTTATGTTGTTTGGTATATACATATGTATATACTAATATATGCGTACATGTGTATGCAGTCTCCTTTTCATACAAATATTCAGCAAGCGGTTAATTACAATCATACGCACATATCGCTCATTTGCTGCAAGATCGGCATAATTTAAAAAATGCTTTTGCAGAAAGTGTGTTTTAAGTTTTCAATCTCGCGCCTTACAAGGAACAGAGGAACTTCTTCAGCATCTCAATCCGAGTGTGCAATAGATATTGATCTGAATTTTTTACACAACATAAAGTCGTTTAATTAGCGGACAATTCTCCATCACTAACTCAAAAATCACAATTTTTTTATTTATGCCGGTCTTGCAGCAAATGAGCGATATGTAGCTAGGTTGTCGCATATTCATTAATAACTACTTATCGTGATCTATGAGACATATGCTTGTATTTTCATTGAAAATATACTAAACAAATCCCGATAAACTAGTTTATTGCGTACATGTGAACGTTATTGGTACAATTTCCTCGTCGAGAAAAGCAATATAGGTTTGGCAAATAAACATACGTACATGTGGTTGCTCTGAGTGACATACATACGGTTGAAATTGGTCATAGACCTGGGATGAGTCCGGAGCGACAATAACCCGGAAATAAGGCACAACTATTCGGAGAATAGTGCAAGTTTAATACTTTGCAAGGCATCCCGATCACTACTACCAACTGAAAATTATTTGGCCAGGTAAGGCAGACTTTGATCAAAAGTCCCTACACTAGCAAACGTTTAGAGTCAAGAAAACAATTAATTAGGTAGAATCTGCACACACACTTGCATTTTACTGAATTGGCTTTCACATACGATCATGGGAAATGTGTGCATATGGATCATTTTTACGAAAAAACGGTTTTATAAGTACGGGTGCAGACATGAAGGTCATGACTGAAACATTAACCCATAAAGAATTTTGCATTTTCCAGTGTTCGAAGAAGAATCTCGTTGCCCTTCTACCCTCGTGAACATTTTCAAACAATTTGTGGTAGAGAACTTTATCACTCGCTATCTCTCTCCTCGCTCACCGCAATCGGTCATTTATAAATATAACATATGTTTGTATGTTTGAATGAGTGTGTATAATGTACAATTTCACTGTGTACACATATGCACCAGCATAAGGATAACTTTTAGTATTTCTCAGCATTACATTATGAGACATTTCTCTTTGGCACTACTAGAGCCTCCTCCATCGCCTTCGCCGTTCTCTGCAATGGCACCATTAGTTTCTTTCATTTTCTTTTCCTTTTTCTGCTTCTTTTTAGTTTTGGTATCCAACTGCAGCGAAACTGTTCGTGTCTTTTCCAGGTTCAACAATTCCTAAAGAGATACAAAAAGATAATAATTGAATTTTCATTTCTATCGTAATAATCCTTATTTTCGCACATCTCGTTACACCCTGAAAAAATAATATTAGGTGAAAAGAAAGAAAGAACAAAAGCAACAAGTAATTCTATTCATTAGGCATGTCGCTCGCAATAAGTTCACTTTTTCTAAAAATTTACATGTTCAATAAGTAAAAATATATCGATTTAATGATAAATTTACAATTTTCTCATTTGTTATTGTTGTCGTTTTGTAGTGACGAATATAGGGGCTCTGACCAATTTTTCAATGTAGCTGTCTGTTTTTTTGTCTCTCCTCAAAAGGGGTAACCGAATTCATGCAATATTTTGATATCGGCCCACCCCTTCTAATGCTTCCCCCAAAAAGGATAAAAATTTTCAAAACATGTACATCTCATATGAAACTTCCATTTGCATTTGCTTGGTACGTCCCCCACAAAACTTGGACTATCCGATTTGAACTAAACTTTACACAACCTAATATTATAACCAAATAATTCGATATCCTATAATGGAGTGTATATATTATTTTTTTTTTTGTTAATTACAGTTATTATTGTCCGTCCCTTCGGTAGGAATTTAGATTAAGAGGTAAAAATGTGGTTATATCTCTTTCAATCTAAAAATTAATTTAAATAGGGTAGTAAAAATTTTTTACATGTGGAAATCTGCAATAACTTATTCAGTATGGATCCATGTTGTTTTGCATCAGTGAGGAAAAAACTGCACTAAAATGCAAATTGGAATATTACACCGAGTTCGCCAGGTTAGACTTATGAAATTGAAAAAAATGATTTTAATTTTCTTCTTAATTCGAGCTTATTTCTAAAATGTCTCATTAAAAGATTTTCAATCATATATCGGTGCACGCTTTGGGACAACAACTATGATAGCTTCAATTGCATTTCGAGTTATCGTATTCGAAGACATTTGTCAATATAGATCCATAATAAATTCCAGCTCCGTTTTTGACATTTCGGTGATCCTGGAAACAATTTCATTATGCAAAATATTTTTTCTATTTCAAAAACAAATGTGTAAAAATACAAGAAAATAGTGTGAAAAATAAGTAAATGGTTACCAAAAATCAGTGGGGGTGCTAATTTTGTCGTTCTCGTTGAGGAATAAATAAATATATAAAATAAACGAAATATTCTAAAAGATCTGCCACAACACAATAAATGTAGTAGTAGGGTTATATTTTTGAAGGAATTCGCCTTCTGGATCACCTGATATTTGGACCAAGACCCATAGTATACATACACAAACATTCCGTCATGCCGATGAACCCCTTTGTTCCCCTTCAATATTCAAACAAAAAAAAAAATAATAATAATAATAATATTTTTTTATCCCAAAAATGGCATTTTCAGTCGTAAATTCAGTTGTTTCTTATCCCATTACAATTCTAGTTTTTTTTTTTTTTGTACACAAAATTATTTACTGACAATTTTGAAAATGAATATTATTCACCAGATTAAAAGGGTTTCATTTTCAAAATCAAAACTATTTTGATATTCTTCATGCATTAGTGTATGGGACCCTTAAAATATGAAAAATATATTACAAATCTTGGGAAAAACATTTGAGTTGTTTACGAAAATAGTGTGTGGTGACCTTGACCTGGTATTTGGGCCATGATCCGTCTCTTCAAAATTATTTGTTTGTCAAAATTCCAGTGCATTTCAGACAATATAAAAATCACATAATATTAGATTCATTAATATCATGGGGTGTTGGAAAAATATTTAACTAGGCGCACATTTAAAGTCAGAATTAATAATTATCTGTCAAACCCGTTTGCATACCTCAAGGATCCCCACTGTCGGTAGTGCTATTTCAAATAGCATTTAATCAAATCAGCAACATCAGTAACAAATATCCGAAGATATATCATTGCCTATACGCTGACGACCTATATATTCTAAACTCCAATAAATATAACGATGCTGCTATCATTTAATTTTCTAACATCATAAATGACATCAGCACTTGGGCCAAAACTTCAGGTGACAAAATATCTCCTACAAAGTCTTAAATTTTACGTATATGTCGGAAGCCTAACTGTAAGCCCACCAATATATTAACTAACGGATTTAGCATTCTCTACGTCAACAAGCTAAAATCCTAAAAATCAACAATATTTTTCAGAAAAACTATCGGTGGAATGAACACATACTTAAATTAAAAAAGGACCTTATTCCTCGATTAAACATCATAAAGTATCTTTCACACAAAAGTTTCGCTCACATCAACACTCTTACCTATTTAGTAAAATCACTTGTGCTAAGCAAAATTGACTATGGATTGTACCTTTTTGGAGATAGGTATTTTCCCAACTTGACTGTTTTCTATCGATTCCTGTGATACATCTCTCAGCGCTCTAGGGAAATGTAAAACTTCGAACGAAATCTATGCACAGCATTTTCGATACTTTTTCACGCAGTTTTTATACACTGATGCTTCAAAATCAAGCTCAATTTCCTCATAATTCTTCCTTAAAATTCTTGTTGATTTTTCATCAATCTTCACAGCCGAAGCTGCTGGCATTCTAGAATTCAATATTGCAACTCAATCTCAACAAAAAACTATAATTGTTTCCGACACTTTATCAGTTCTTAATGTAGTGTCATGTACATCAAATAACAATTGGGCTTCGATTAACAAAATTCGAAATTTGTTAACCGATAACAATAATATAAAACTTTTCTGGGTACCTGGTCACGTAGGTATTAAAGGAAACGAAAGTGCAGGTAGAGCAGTAAGGTACACATGCACAGCTCCCATAATGTCGGATGGAACCACTGAAAAAGTTGATTTAAAAAGCTATATAAAAGGCTTACTTAAAGAAAATGCTTTATAAGAACGCATGTCATTTAATCATGTACACTTCAAACAAATCAATCCTAACTGTATAACGCATATATATCCCACCAATATGTCTAAAAAGGAAGTGCGTATATTTCCCAGACTTCGAATGGGTCATACTATTGCCACACACCAACATCTAATTAACACATATTTAGACAACAAATGTCCTAAATGCGGAAATATCTACACAGTTCTACATATTTTAGAATCTTGCAACGCTTTCAACAGAGCCCGTCTCAAATACCTCAAAAACGATGGACTGAATATGCTAACATCCCCTACCGATGTTAATACTAAAGCTATATTTAACTATATAATACATCTGAAAATAACATTGTAAGATTCAAAATTATTAAAAATTGTCAGCCAATTTAGCTGATGGCCACTGTAGCCAACGCTATTTCTTTTCTTATTAGTATTGTATTTACTACAATGCAAATATTATAATAAATAAATAAAAATCATTTCACTGAAAAATTAACATTTTTTATGTCACCATATAACATAATGTCACGATATGGTGACACCTATATTTTATTCGCGACTATGAAATGTCCCATCGTATATATATTATATGTCTTTTGGATGTTTCAACCAAAGACATGCAAGATTAGTAACAATTCTCATGTCGAATTCATCTGGCAACTATATAGATTGACAGCTAATCAGATAATCAGCTGCGCCTGTGCCTTGGTTTCGGCTACCTCTTATCGACAAAATTTATTATAGTTATTTTTAAATGAATTCACATAAAAAATTTTAAAATATTGGAACATTTTATTATTATTTTCTCCCTCTCTTTATATTGCAGAAATGTTCAAAACGAATATCATAAAGAGTCAATTAATTTTCATTTATGTTCATAGATCAAATAGATGACATGAAAATAATTATGATCATATCCGTAAATTACCTGAAATAGTTCCGTAACATTGTGATTGGTTTTGGCAGAAGTTTCCATAAATGATATATTCCATAGACGCGCTTGTTCCTTCCCCTCCTCCTCCGTAACATTTCGTAGTTCCGCGCTTTCATCACACTTGTTACCTACCAGCATGACAGGTATGTTTACAATGTCTTGGCCCTGTAATAGTTTCCAATAAGTAAATTCATATTATTTATCCAATTAATTCGCGGCTGACTCACTTTCAGTTCCTTAATGAGGTTCCATATTGGTTTCAACTCCTCTAAACTTTGCTTCGAGCACACCGAATACACCAAAATGAAGGCATGACCTTTTGTTATGGACAACCTTTGCATCGCTGGAAACTGATGTGATCCCGTTGTGTCGGTAATCTGCAGGGTGCATATCGTTTTATTGCAACTAATTACCTATAAAAATTGAAATGGAACCAGGTGCAATTAGCCTCTGCACATACATAATATAGAGCTGAAATATAACTTGTAACAAACTCATTGTATTAAAATATATTCGGAAGCCGCAAATGTTGTCCTACAACAAAAGGAACAACCGATGCATGAAGATTAGTTGTTGTATGGAATACTTATGTTTACCTCATATAATCGAAATGCAATATGTAAAAAAACATGACACCAAATAATTTAAAGCATTTTTGTAATTCCTAACATTTTTATGATTATCTCTATAAGGCTGTGGAAAAATCATACTAATAGTAGTTGTGTTCCCAAACCAAAAAACATATTCACATGTACCCAAACGTGATCGAACCCAAATTTATGAACTGTAGAGTTAGCTCCAAAATAAATATTCCTTAAATCGGTCGGTATATTTATATGGGGACTATCTTATGCTCTGAAAAAATAATGTCCCTAAAGTCTACAAAATACTGAAAATTGGATTGTATCATTCTATGGGAGCTATACCAAACCGTAAACTTACATTGACATTTTTGGTAGGAAGATTTGACACCTCATACAAATTCGATCATATTGACCATTTTTGGTGGGGAGAATTTTAACATAATGAGAATACAACATATAAAAAAAGCTAGTTTGTCCCAGCTCCCCAAAATGCTGAAGTTTGAGATGTAGCGTTACATGGTGATTCCCTAAAAAGTGAGCCAATATTGTCCATATAGCAACATGAAAACCTGAAAAATCATATTGGAGGCAATTTGGCAAAAAAACGTGTCCAAAACACCCAAAATATAGAATAATGGGTGTTACAATTATATGAGTGTTTCACGGAAACAAGGGACAATTTTGATAATTTTTGGTAATGACATTTTCTACTCAATGAGAACCGAAAATATTAAATTGTTCCCAAATTGGTTAAAACACGTGCTCAAGCTCCTTCCAGATACCGATATTTGGGGGCTTCCCTAAAAGTTCGACGAATATTAATAGTTTTTAGTAGCGAACCAGTTTTTTATGTTTTCTATCGATTTGTGACTAAGCCACTCAATTCACAGACTTCGTGTCAAAGTAAAACTAGGAGCCTACAAAATGAGGAATAGTTTCAATGCGCAATCACGAATTTCTGAAAATCGATTATATGATTATTGTAGTCGCGAATCTGAGTTATTTGATATATATTTTGTGTAGCTTCAGAGTAGTAATACACACCCAAAGGTGAAACTTTTGTGCGATCAAATTTCTAAAAAAACTTATTTTTTCGGGCCAAATTTTTAGATGTGTCAATTAAATTATATGGGTACTCGTGATCAGTAAGCTTTTCTACGTTTCGGATGAAATAAAATCGTCTTCGTGAAAATCTCCTAGAACGGCGATAGAAAAACACGAAATTTGGCAAAAAAAAATATGACCTTATGCGGATTTTGAACTTTTCGAAAACAGAGCCGAAAGAGCCAATTTATCTCAAAAATAGAGTGAGCTGGGTCATCCATGGTTCTTAATGGACCGCATTGAAATATATAGATCGATGTATTTTTTAGGGTGCACACCGAAATCGGATGCGCGTTAAAGACATATGGACCTTTCGCGTTATACGAGTTTTTGGGTATTTCAATGGAAAATGTAGTACATCTTAGCCGTCAAATGAAATTTCGCAAAATATACATCGATTGGAAGATATACGTCAGTACTTATCGATTTAGACGCAATTTTAAATTTATATTTCGTAATATAGTTTTATTTTAAGATTTATTTCTATTTATAGAACCCAAGATTGGAAGGGTAATATTTACTCAGTAAGAATTTGCAGAGAGTAAATACGAATTGTTCCTTCTCAAGAGAGAAAACAGCAAAAAGTAAACGAACAACATCCAGTAAAAAGATTGTTTCGACACAGCTGATTAAAACAACAAACAAATTGGCGCAAACTAAAAAACAGCATTTTTATTAGAAAAATGGATAACAAGCGGAAAATTGATGTTGCTTGTTCCCCACAAACATTTAAAAGGGTTGTGACCGGTAAGTTTTAACTATTTAATTATACAAAATCAAAATAAAATTCACAAAACAATAAATTTTCTTGAGAAAAATTAAGTTTGTAACAATTGTTACAAATTGTTACTGGAAGTCGTCTGTTAACCCAAAAGTTCTGCAAAAGAGAGCGGTTGGAGAGAGAAATTTTGACAGTTCTTTCAGTGAGAGTTTGCAAATTCTTGCTGGAAAAATTTCTTCTTGCAATCTCTTGCAACTCTTCTTCTTCTCATACATCGACATTCAATCAGATGTTTTCTATTGTTTGTTTATTTATTTTTGTGCTTTCAATTTGAAAATAATTTTTTTTGGAATTAGCAAGACTAATTGTTTTTGGAGAAAAACTTTACAAAACGAGAAAAACGTAAGTATTAATATGTAATAGGAAAATAAAAGACTATTTCCAGCATTTTTAGAAAAATGACGGAAGAAGATCAGTGTGTCTCTGTAGCCAGTGGCAGTAAATTATTAAGCCCAAATATGGATTTGGATATGCAGAAAGGTAGTTATGATGGTTTCCAACTTATTTTTTTACATTTCTGTGTGAAAAGTAGGAATGGTACAAAATATAGCTCAAAAACTTGTTAAACTGGTTGTGTTTTCTTTCTTTTAATTCTTTATAATGGCGGACAAATTGGTTTGTTTTGACAAATCAGCTGATTAGTTGCAAGCTTCTGCAGGGATGCCGTCTGTTTACTTTTCGCATTTTTCTTGCAAAAGAGAATAAAACTACCTTACTCTCTCAGAAAGAAGTTACTGGACAATTCCTGCAGGGAAAGTAACCAGACACACCTATTTTTTGTTTGTTTACAAAACATAAAAAAACAGCTGATTAAATATCAGCTGATGGTACAAGAAAATTCTTACTGAGTAAATTTTCCTTGTAAGAATTTGCAAATACTCAGTACAACAACTGTCAAATCTGCTCCTCAATTCACTCTCTTTTACTGGACTTTTGGGTAAACGAACAACATTTTGTAATAATTTGTACAAATTCGTACAAATTATTGAGTAAACGAACGAACCTATTGTTTTGCTCAAGGCGTATTTAATAAGGTGTAAGTGACAATCATATGTTTTTAAAGTTTTTTCTTTATTGTTTGTGAAATAAATTGTCAAAACATGTTTTTCGACGTTTCATTTCCTTCAAATTTAAATTATGCTCAACAACAACAAAAATACATTTATAGGAACAGAAAATGTTACAAGCCTCAAATGACCAAAAAATTTATTTTACATTGGGCTCCTGATTATAGGCCGCTGAAATATAGACCTTTAAAATTTGCAAGGAGCCTGTAGTGGTATCTGTCCATTGGTGTTTGTCACACATATGGGTCTCTATAATGTTTCTAGTGCTTTGTCATGAAAATATCACAATTTGCAAAAAGAGTAAATTGCGTAGCTTTAAATAAATCTGTACGTGTAGGATATAAACCCTCAACCACCCTCAAAAGCAAGGAAAATGTATACGTATTGGAATCTGCCCATTGGTATTTGCAAAATCTTCGACGGATGTCCAGCTTAACTCAGATTCCGTAGTGGATCTTTATATATTAATTTAAATTGAAAAGCATTGTGGGCCGTACTTCGGCTCGAGAATTTGACATACGCTTAAGACAATATTGGTATATTGGATACGTAACACAATCTTAATTATTTCGTGGTCCTTGAGCGGCCATTTATGGCACAAAACTTTTCCACTGAGAAGGGCTGATTTGGAAGCCACAATTAAATAAATATGTATATAAATATATATATATATATATATATATATGAACCTCGGGCAGGATGTGGTAAATTTTCAAAACAAAACAAAAGATTTCAATTCCTCATGCATTATTTATTGACAAAAAATGAAAACGAATGCTGTTTAGATTATATAGATGTTTTTAAATTAATTTTTAGGACGATACATGTCATTAATATAATGAAAATAATGACATAATCGCCTATATTTTGCGGTAATGTGCAGCTTTTTCGCGATTATTATAATATCTGCATATTCATATTTTACGAAGGAAGTCATATATCTACATTTTTGGTCAATATAATAAACGGCATAATTTTAAGATTTTTTTCTTATCCCCAAAATAAAAAAACATCGATAACTTTTGCGCGCATCAACCAAAAATTTGATCGCGAACGGATTCGGTGTCAGGACATTTTTGTCTTTATGTGTACTAAAAATCATGAAAAAAGCCGATTTTTTTAAATGGAATATTAAAAAGTTGGCAAAGTTGCCTTTGCCAACTTTCGCCTTTGATACGGCGAAAATGTGCCTCATCCTCCTGTTGCCTCCCTCATAAATGGTAAAAATGTTCAATATTTATAAATAAAATATTAGGCTAATAGAATGTCCCGCTTGAATCAAACTTTGCACAACCCAATATCTTTACAATGTTTGGGTGTAGTCCGAAGATGGGACCCATTGGTTCACTCCTTCTGGTACCTCCCAAAAATGGCCAAAAATTTCAATATTTTTAAATACAACATCAGACGAATGAAATGTCCGATTTGAACCAATCTTTGTTAAACGTATTATCTTTACCAATCCTAGATAAAGTCCGAAGATTGCTTCACTTCTTCTGGTACATCCCCCACAAACGATCAAAAATTTCAATATTTATTTAGCTCAATTATGAAGTAATTACTTAGTTCCCCATACAAAATTGTCTGAGCGAACACCGACTTTTGTACGTTGTTCAATTCGAATTACTCTCTGAATAACCAAGAAATTTGTCCCATCCCTAACAATTGAGAGTATTTATCGAAAATAAATTAATTTTGACAACATGAAAATATTTATAAAATTTTCAAACTTTTTCAGTAAAATTGAAAATGATGAATGAAAAGTAAAAAAAATGTATAGTTTTTGTCATGATACAATTATAAAAGGTAACAGCAAATCCCAGCTGATTTGATTCCAACGTAATACTAGTGTCAATATGAATTTGACAAATTATGTT